TTTTCACTTCTTTCCCCACCCGAGCCAAGGATTCTTGGCAATTTCTGTCACATTTGTGTAGGACGCAGCACAAACCAAGCACCTTGGGAAGCAGCTTCTGTTTGCTGCAGCAAAAATCACCAGCTCAGTTTTAGCTGAAAACAAAGTTCACTTTTCCTGCTTCTGCAGTGGCCAAGCAGTTTTGGGCCATGATCTGTAGAAGCACAGAAAGGACAGAGGATCTGGGGGTAAGGAAGGATAAACATCTCATTGAGATATAAAGGCTGCTCCAAGAAGAGAAGTTCTTCGTGGAACTGCTCTGTAAGTGGCTGTGGGGAGTCAGGGTGTTGTGAACAGGGGTCAGTCCAACCCTGAGGAACAAGCGAATAACCAGGATGCACCGGTTCTGGCAGAGAAAAGAATCCCTTCCTTTGTGTCTTCGGTTCAGAGGGGGAGCCAATCATGCCATCAGCCATTCCAGAGCAATTGAGGAAACCCAGAACAATAAGCTCCTCTATGGCCTGTTGTCTGAGTTCAGCACTGTTCTTGCAGCCTTACCAGTTTCAAACATCAGCTTTGGGTTTTGGTTGCTCTGAAACAGAATTGCTTGGAAGTAGCTGGCAGTTTGTAGCTACTGATTGCCAAAAGACAACTGAGCCCTGTCCTCCAGGTCACACTGGACTGAGGGAGAGTCCTGGGAAGGTCTACAGACAGCTTTTACCTTCTTAACCCCCCAGCAATCACCTAGGTCCAAGATGTAGTCTTGGTTTACTCCCCAGCGTTCCTGCTCTGGAGTCCTGCAGCAAACTGTCTGTAGCGGGACCTGGCATCTCTCCATCCACTGGCCCTGGAAGTGGTGGCTGAACCCAGACAAACTGCTTGCAAATGCTCCTGTCATTTGTCAGGAGCCCAATGCTATTGCAGTGATCTCCAGAACACCAAACCTTTTTTGGCGAAATGCCCATCAGACTAAATGCATCTCAAATAATTTTTTGCCACCCTGTAGTTGAAATACTTCTGCTAAGAGGACTGTCTGTAACTCAGACTTGGACATTTTTCATCCCATGTTTTTAATCATAAGCACTGTCAAAGGAGCTGCAGAAAAAACACGTTCCAAGCCTGTAAGCTGATGCTATTGACATATTGCATTGCACTTGGGAGAAAACCCTTAGCCATGCACCCCAGACCCAGTACACTCACCTGTGCTGGTTAACTGCTGCGTCACAGGAATCAGGAACAGGCAACATCGATGTCATTTGGTAACTTATTGCAGAGACAGTTTGAAGTTCAATAGAAGTAAGAACACCACTTCTGAAGAGATGCACTGATGATGAAACTACACAAAACAAGATGATTTAACATCTCCCTTGCCCAAAGGCAGAGGTTCCCCTTGAACATTTACTTCAAACCACCTTTTAGTGATCAGACACTATATCAATTCATGCTTCTTACTAACCTCGGGAAACAGGAAAAGACATTTCTGTAACTGAGGTTTTAGAGAGCACCAGAACCAGCACAAGAAAAAGGGTCGAGGTGACCAGGGGTGCTGGGAACTCTGGTAGGAACTCAGTTCCTCACAGAATTGCAGCTGGTCAGCATAAGAGGTGGAGTGGGTGAAGTGCTTGTCATCTCTAGAGACAAGTTCAGGAGAGGGGTCTTTTACTAGGCAGAGATATTTACACCACCAAGGAAATAAAGCAGTGCCTGTTAACTAGGAATGGCCAGTGTCACTGGCATTAAACTAAAGCAAACTGGTTTCAGGGAGGTTTGGCACTCCCTGGAAGAGGAGGTCAGTGGGTGGATCACAGTAAAGAAACCTCAACCCAAGGACGAATTGAACACACTACCTGATGTACTAAGATTCATAGACAGGTGGGATTCCTAGTGGCGAGATGGCTGCAAAGTCAGTTATCATGCCACCTGGATAAAAATAGAGACCTTCCTAGTTTAGCAAAAGGCCTGTCAAGAGATGGGAGAAGACACCATACCTTCCTCAGTACTTCTCACATTTGTTTGGTGGTGATTTGAGCATTTTTGGACTCCAGAAGCCATTCACCTTGCTAGCCTGGGTGAATTCATTGGGCTCAGAACAATGGGCTGGTGAGATAAGAGGCTGAGTGACTCCCACAACACGCCCAAGACAGTGAAAAGGAGAAGAAGAAGGGGGAGCAGGAAGGAGACTGCTTTAAGCAGCAGCATGGTTTATCCATTCATCCTCTCCAGCAGCCAGTCTGTGGGCACAGCTGAGTGATCACCGACTGCCAGGCAGACCATTGCTGAAAGGGGCTTCTCTCCCAGCCCACTTGCTGTGTCAGATCTGCAGCTGCCCGTCCCTTTGTGTTCTTCCACTGCCATAACCTGGTAGGAGTTCAGGTTTGCTGTAGAGGAGTTAGCCAGGCGTTCCTCTCCAGAAAATGCCGTGGGCTGATGGTAAGGGTCCCAGCACAGCTACCAGTGTAGAAGCCCCTTTGAAACTGGTGCAAAGTTAAAACACGAGACCCAATTCAGAGAGTGCTGGTGGGCAAAAAAGCTCTGCAGTGTAGCAAGGTACACACCTGCACATCTAATTTCTGGGGGACTTCAGAGGGTTTGTAACACCTCTCTCTGTGGCACCATACATCACAGAGGCCCAAATCACAGCACTCCCAGAGTCTCACAGCAAATCCCCTCCCTTACAGGCGCTTGGGCAGAGGCTCTGTGGCTGAGCTTACGGCATAGTTAGTGCAAAAAATGCTGAGTAAATCACAGAGCCATGAATTTAAACCCTCAGAATTTAAACCGTTCCTTCAGAATATAGAGTTGTCCTAATATTTATTTCAGCTCTTCCACAGTCCACTGTAGCTGTGATGCCAAGAAATCAGTCTTCAGTGATGACATCTCACTAGTGACTCTGCAGCTTTTGGGGGAAGCCAACCCCAGCTGACAGATACAATAGGAAAAGCATTCTGAAATGGATAAAAAAATCAGATTTTTAAATGGGTATAACCTAAACGGGTCAATATTGCTTTTCATGACTTAGTTCTTCCCCCGAGGTTCAGGGAGGTGGGGAAGGGGGAGTTACTAATATTTTTGTAATTAGCCCCATCTAAAAAGGGACCAAGCCTGCAGTGAAGCTCTGTACACAACCTCAGCACAACTCACCACAGCATCTCCCACAGACTGAGCACAGCCAGGCAAGGATACTCCACAGTACAGCCTCTCTTCCAGGGCTGATCACATGGGTGACATCTTCATTGAAGAACGTTTTTTAAGGGCATTAGAGTGACAGTGGTGTCATTTACTCTGCAGACAAGACATGCCACTACCTGCAGTGTTCCTCAGGTGAGAGCAGTCCAAGGGGAGCAGCTGGCTGGGGGTGTACCAGGTAACACAGGAGAAACTGGGACACCTTCAGCCAGCCAGTCACACCCTTGTCAAACCACTTTCTACATCAAAGGTATCATTTGCCTCCTGCACTTTCAGACAGGGCAGTTCCAGGCACGTACCCACCCAGTTCAGCGTCGTTGCTACCCTTCACCAACTGTAACGCAGCCTGGCATTCACCAGTGCTGCAAACCAAGCCAGTTCAGGCAGATTTATGGACACAACAGTGGAAATGTAGAAGGCAAGGCTGTTTTTTTTTTCCTGCCCATTCTTATTACATAAAAAAATCCCCCTCTTGTCAGGGCTTAGTGCAATAAGACCATAGTATTTCAAGGCACTTACTGTGTTTTATGATGAATTTCTTACACTAAAATTGCAAAAGTGATTGAAATAGCATTAAATTAGTCTTAATCCATCCTTCTTTGGAAAGTGACTTAGCTAAGGAACAGAGAACTAGAGACAATAAAATAAAACCCCACTGGGCAATTAAAGTCATTGTGGAAAAGAACACTCATGTCCAAGTCAGGATCTTGGCTGTCTTGCTCCAGGAACTAGCACCATCACACATGACATCAGCATAACTCTAAAGTTATCTCACTAGGTACAAATGGTCATTTCTTTCAAATAAATCTAAAGAAAGTAGTTAAGTTCTGTACAGGTCTGTCTATTCAGGAGTACATCCTTATTTTGGAAGAACAATGAAGCTTAAAACCAGACAGTGGGGTTGGTTGTTTTTGTTTTCATGAAACAGTTACTGAGCAGGAAAGTGAGACTGAGTAGTTTATTTGACAATGTTGCAGACCATAGTATAATTGGATGGGTTTAGATTATGCAGATCAAAATATACAGTCTCCAACGCTGTTTTTACACCACATTCAGTATTGGCCATGCACATTCAACAACAGCACCAGCTTAGTCATCTTTAAGCTGCTTGATCTTATGCTTATGGCGCTCAATTTCTTTTTGCAGCCGCTCAATCTCTTTCTGGTGGTGATGGATCTCTTCCTCGTGGTGTTTCCGTAAAGCAGAGAGCTGCTCTCGCTCCTTCTCCCTGCAAGAAAGGACGGGCCGAGGTGCAGCCCCGCAGCCGGGCCGCGCCAGGGCTGAGGGAGTGGCCCCGCAGGCCCCGGCCTCGCTCACCTGAAGTACCGCTCCTCCTCAGCCGCCTGCTTCTTCCCGAACGCGCCGCCGGCCCCTCGCGGAGGGAGCCGCCGGCCGCCGGCCGCCCGTTTCCCGGCGCCCTTTACCCAGCTTCGCCGAGCTGTAGAGGGACGCGCGGACGTGCGCGGGCGCAGAGGACAATAGTGGGACGGAGGACCATCGCCGGGACACCCCCGCCCGCCGCGCCCCGCGCCCACCTTGGTCGAGCGCACCGAGCTCGAGCTCCAGCGCTGCTGCTGCGCCAGCAGAGCCCGCGCAGGCCGAGCCCGCCCCGCCTTTCCAGCCGCCACGGCCGCCATGGGCCGCGTGCCCTTGGAGCGCCCGCCCCGCCCCGCGCCTGCGCAGCCTGCTGCCTGCGCGCGGGGCCGGGGGGAGCAGAAGGGCGGGGGCGGGGGCCCGTGAGACGTCACAGCGGGGCCTCCGCGCGGCCCCGGCTGGGCGGTGGATGTCTGTGGGCGCGGTCACGTGGCGCGACGGCGTGTCACGTGGTGGGCGGCCATGGCGGGCGGCGGGGCCCGGCGCGGGCGCGGCCGAGGCGCGTTCCTGACCTTCTACAATTGACGGTACCGCCCGCGCCGGCCCGCTGCCCCCGCCCTGCCCGGCCCCGCCGCCTCCCCCGCAGGCCGCGGGCCCGCGGGTCCCGCGCGGTACGCGCTTGTGCCAGGCCGTGGCGGGCCGCCGACAGTCGGGCCGGGCGGAGCCGCTGTGGGCGCTGTGCGGGGGGGCGCGAGTGGCGCGGGCGGGGTCCGTCTCGACCCGGACCCTCTGTGCAGCCCCGGGCGGTGCCCGGGGGGTCCCGCGCTGCGGCTAGCTGGGAGGCTGTGCCGCCGGCCCTGAGCGCGGCACCCCGTGCCCGGGTGTGGGAACCTGTCCCCGGGGCCCCTTCCCTGTGCCGGGACTTGGGGCGCAGCCTCGGTATTTTACCTGAGCTGCCCGCACACAGGCCGTGCTGGTTCGGCAGATCCGTATATCTGTAAATAAAGCTGAACATTAAATATAAACGCATGGCTTGGTTTTGGCGTAGTACTATGAAGAGCAAAAAGTAAACTGAACTGAACTAAATAACCTGTGGTCAGAGTGAAGTGGATTTGTGTACTTGCATCGGTATCACTTCATGTGTTTAAAGGGCTGTATTGCCAGCAGCGGGTTAAAAGCAATAGCGCGGTGTTTTCAAAGGAATCACAGCGACAGGGCTGCTGGAAGAGCAAGGGGGAGGGAAGAGGCACAGCTGTAGAGCAAACTGTAGGATAGACGGACAGAAGTGCTCTGCAGGGTTTTTTATGGTAAAAATGTAACATTAAAAATACTGTTGTGCTATAGAAAAGGCTCAATGATATGCTTTGCTACAGCTTCAGTAAAATAGCCCCAAGCTTGAGGCGAGCAAGAAGTATCGTGAATTGTAGTAGGGGACCAGTGTAACTGGTGTAGTAATCGCGTGGAAAAACAGGTAAGGATGTTGTGATGGTCAGTTAATGCAGGTCTCTCTTGTTCTTCAGGTAAAGCAAATTGAAAAACGAGACTCTGTTTTAACATCAAAAAACCAAATTGACAGGCTGACCCGACCCGGATCTTCCTATTTCAACTTGAACCCTTTTGAGGTTAGTTTGAACATTTTGTCCTCCCTTCTGACTTAGTCTACCAACTTCTTGATTTCCTGAGTATTTTATTGCAGTAAAAGACTGAACATAAAGAAACCAAAATCTCTAGGTACAGATTACTGTGCAAAAGTTTTGCAGAAGCAGAAAGATGGTATCTGTGTGCACACTCTCTTTCTCACTGATGGCGGTGCAAACTATGTTCTTTTGTCACATTTCCCTCATGCAACATCACTGGATGATTTGGCAGATCAGTGCTGGGTACTTTCTGAACAGAAAAGTAACAGCTGGAGGTGGCAGCTTGGCAAGTTCTGGTCAGAGCTTTCTTAATTCAGCATTTCTAGTTCTGTGTTTTATTTTGTGTGTTCATCCCAGTGAACTTGTGTAGCCTGAAGAACACAGTAAATAATTATTGTGGTATTCAGCTGGAGCTGGCTTTCCCTGTGTGTATTCCTTCCTGATATCATCTTCTCTGCCTTTTTAAAGCCCCAAGTGCTTTTTGTAGACCCAGTTCACGGCTAGAAGACCCAGTTCAGGTCTTTTTGTAGACCCAGATCAGTTGGCAGATTCACTCTGACAACATTCAGTTTTGTGTAGATCTTAGATCTTTGACTTGGAGAGTAAATTAAGAAAGCCATTTGGGAGTAGACTGTAGCTTTCCTGTGGGAGAGTATTTTTTATTTACAGACTACCGTGAATCTGCTCACTTGTTGCTTAGATCTTCTGTTCAGTAAATTAATTCACAGAAGAGCTCCTAAACTTTGCTGCATCCATAAAGATCAGTAGACAAGTGGTCTCATTCATGGAAACTAAACAGTAAAACTCTACTGTCTTCTTTTAAAATGATAAAATGAATAAATTCTTACAAATGGTGGTTTCCTGCCCAGAGTTCTCAGTTATGAATGACCTGACAGTGTTCCAAAGCCCCCATATGCTTCTGTTTCTGCCAGACTGAACACTGCTACAGGACTGGTTGAAGGTTCAGACCAAGTTATGGATGGCAGCTGTCTACACAAGACTTGAGTGTAGAAAGGGCACTGGCATAGTCAGAGGAATCTAGCATTAGTAGAAGTAGAGTGTCACAAAGATGATGACTACTAAAATGTTTTTGTTTTACTGGGTGAAAATTCATATTGTGATGGAGGAAGCTTTCTGGCGTGTGTCTGTGTGCCAGTGAACCAAGTGTTACAGAATGTGCTGAGTTGGAAGGGACCCATCAGGATCACTGAGTCCAACTTCTGGTCCTGAAAAGAACACCCCAACAATCCCACCCTATCCCTGAGAGCATTGTCCAAACACTTCTTGAACTCAGGCTTGATACTGTGACCACTGCCCAGGGGAGTCTGTTCCAGTGTTCAGCCACCCTCTAGGTGGAAAACCTTCTCCTGATATCCAGCCTAAACTTCCCCTGACTCAGTTTCATGTTGTTTCTTTGAGTCCCATCACTGGTCACGAGAGTGAAGAGATCAGTACCTGCCCCTCGTGTGGATGTTAAAGACCCCAATGAAGTCTGACCTCAGTCTCCTCCAGGCTGAACAAACCAAGTGGCTTCAGCCACTCCTCATAAAAGTGTTAGAACTTACTGCCAGAAACCTGATTCATGGAGAGTAGCATCAAACTTCCTTTGCTCTCATGGTGTCTTTTAGGTGCTGCAGATGGATCCTGAAGCCACAGATGAAGAGATAAAGAAAAGATTCCGACAGGTATTTGGCTTTTGCACTTGAAGTCCCTGGAAGGAAACTAGAAGTTCTTTTGAGATTGTGGAGCTGGGCTTGGGCTCAAGAAAAATGGTGATAAAGCTGTTCTTGGGTAGAGGAATGGCCATTTTTGACAGAAATGCATAGAACAATGCTTGTATCAACAAGAGGAGAGCTGCAGGAGTGTCCCTGGTCCGTGCATGATTGGCTGCTTTGCCTGTGCAGTGTGTCAGGGGGCTGTTGCAAACTGATATACCCATGTATTATCAGCTTATTGAACTGGACTTCAAGGAGAAGATGAAAAGTCATCAGAAATCTGAAAAAAGGTATTTTTCTCTATAATATGGACTTGAATCCAGAAGTGTATTTTCTCTGATGTTTCTTTAAGAATTTCAGTGGGCATTTTTGGTGGCTTGGTTACTGGGAACAGCAGCAGCCCTCCTCAATGACCTGTCTGCAACAAAGGAAACATTACCCCAGCTTCCCTCTGCTGACAAACCTGCAGGAAAAATTTGAGTTTAATCAGCGCGTGCAGCAAAGAAAGGGTATTTTTAGGGCCGTGGCCTCCACCTGAATTAATGCTGTGAGTGCTGGCTGGCAGAGGAATGTGCCTGCCAAATTGGTGATGGGATATGGGCTCCTCCTGTAGATGGGAGGTGGAAGGATAAACTTTTGATCTGTGTCTGGCTTCTCAGCTCTGTGAGACAATAAAACTGGGGCTGTCTCAGCTTTGGGCTTGTAAAATACTACAGGGAGATGTTTTGCAGTCAAGGCGATGAAGTGAAAAATACAGTATGTGGAACAGCCAACAGAGGGGAAAGAAGACAAGTAAATCTGTTCAGGACTGAAGGCAAACCTTTTCCCTGGGAACTAGAGAGTGGCAGCTGTAGAGTAGTTATTTTGCATTCCTTGGCACTAATGCAGTTTCAGTTGCTGATCTGTACAGCAATAGCAAAAATAAGAGATTTAGAAAAAATAGCTATATGGGGAAAGTTTGAAAGAACTTTGTATGGAAAAGGAATGTGGAGGAGGACATGTGCTTTCCAGCACAGTTAAAGTTGCCCTAAGGATGGTAGTGATCCATGTCCTGTCTCTGCCAAAGTACAGGAAGAAATTTTCTTAACTTTTAGTAAAGTAGCCTAAGGAAAAACTTTACCACTCTGAATAGTTTGGTGTTTGGACAACCTTAGGGATACTGGAGAACTTCTTGGGAGAATTTGGTTAAGGATGGTCTTTGTGGGTTTGGTTTTCGTCAAGACCAAGGATACAAAACTTGTGTGACCAAGGGGTTCATATCAGCCCAGGCACTGCAGCTGAGGGCTGTTTAGATTTTTCCACACTTCCCAAACTGCAGCTTTTCTCGGATAGCCTGTTTGTTAGACGGACTGTTTGATTTATCAGTGTGTACTGGCACATGCTTCTGCATGAGTTGTCCGTGTACAAAGTAATGTGACCCCTTGGGATTCTTTCTGTCTGAGACTATTTCACTCCTCTCAAAAATCTCTGAGATACTCTTCATCTTTTACAATGATCTTGATAGCAAAATCCTTTCTCTTGCAGCTGTCAATACTGGTGCATCCAGACAAAAACCAAGACGATGCAGATAGAGCCCAGAAGGCATTTGAAGGTAACACTCACCCTTTCTCTGTGTTGCTCTGGGTTAGTAGTTAATGCTGCTTTTCTAGTGCTGGTTTAAATGTTCGTTGAGGTGGAGGGGACAAGGGTTGCTGCATAGCTGCTTTAGCAGGGATAGAAACAGCTGTGGGAGCAGCAGCTGTGTGGGGTGGTGACATTTCAGCAAGTGGCACTAGGTGGCAACAGTGGCATTGTCATGTCACAACGGGGACAGACACCTCTGTGGGGTTTTGGGATTGTTCAAGAAAAACTGTTTGATCTGTGCATTAGATTGTATTCAATGACCATACAACAGAAGTAATGTGTTGGTTTTAGATGTATGCTTTGCATCACAGTGAGGTGTTCTGCACCTTAAACTCACCTCATGCCCTATAACTACAGCTGGTAGGACTGGTACTTTCACCTGCTGCCTCCAGAAGGTATGGGGTAGTTCCTACCATTACTATACCCTAAAACTCATTTAACTAATCATGTTATTACTTACCTAGATGTATTTAATACAAAAAAAACCCTGCCAAACAAATGACACCCACAAATTCTAGAAGCCAGATTTTTAATGCCAACAAGTAGCACTCTTGTGATGCCTTGTGAACGTGACTGCTGGTGCTATTAACGTTGCTCCTTTTTGTTAGCTGTAGATAAAGCGTACAAGCTGCTGCTAGATCAGGAGCAAAAGAAGAGAGCCTTGGATGTGATACAGGCAGGAAAAGAATATGTGGAACACACTGTAAGTATGGGAACATCTAGGGATGGGGGTGAGTGGTAATCAATCAAATCAATCAATCAAACCTTGTAATGGAGCTGTGCAGGTGGGCTCCAAGCTCTTCACAGCAGGAACAAATCTGCTGTGTGCAGGACTGCTGTTGAGCTCAGTGCTAGATAATTCAGTGAAATTCAGTACTTGAAATAATTAGGTCAGATCACATGATCTGACCTAAATATTTTTTTCCAAGTCTATGAATGAATGATGCAGTTCAGATGTGTGTAGATAGAAGAGAATAGGTGGTGACAGCAGGAGACTGGGAAGTTTGGAGGATATTGACCTATAAGAAAAGGAGCTTGGATTGCACTGGCCAAGAAGTTAGTTGAGTGATGTGGGTGGGCTAAAACATGATAAGCTTGAGGAAGCAGATGATATGGGAGAACTCAGATACTCTTAACACAAGGGACACTTGATGTTCTGCTTGTTATTTTAGTCACTTGAATATCAAATAACAAAATAAACTTCCTGCTGGTTTGGATGGTGTATATTTGATAAGAATATATCTGTTAAAAATACCCAGAAGGGATTGTATTGAAGGAATAGCATCCAACATAATACTTTTAATTACTACAGTTTGTGTGATAGTGATCTTGTAAGTGTTTATCTGGGCCTAGAACAGTTTGGTCTAGTGCAATGAAGAACGGACTTCTTCCTACGTGTTGGAGTAGGAATACAGAACTACTTGGATACAATTGTGTTAGGCCTATAAGACTTCTAAGGTTCTTATTTTTGTTCCAAATCTTTAGGTGAAAGAAAAAAAGAAACAGTTGAAGAAGGATGGAAAACCTCCCACTGTAGAGGAGGATGATCCTGAAGTTGTAAGTCGTACACTGTTCAGAGAAACTGGGGAGTACAAAGCATGTTTTGAGGAATTAAGATTCAAAACCAGTGAAGAAGTATTTATTAGACTTGTTAATGTTGTAAATCCGTACAGTTACAGAAGAGCAAATTCTACTTAGCCTCTGTAGAGTACCATGTGTCGGGTGATACCCCTGTGCTTTGGAAAATAGTTTAACTGTAGTGTAAAGAGTAAATATATCAGATTATATTGACCAAAATACCCTCTTCTTTTCTTGGAGCAATTCTTCATTGCTTGTGCATCATGCAGTCTTTTTTGAATTTAATTTCTTGTTGTCTTCTGACTGCTGGAACTGTGGCATTCCTGCTGCCCACAGAGGCATGTGTAGGACCCACTGCAGCATGGCTAAAATGAGCTCTGGGAGTTTTTTGGGTGAGAGCTGTTCTGGCTGTTTCTTCCATATAGCACTGGAGGACAGACGTGCTGTTCTGCAATAAATCACCTGTATTAAAAAAGGCATGGCATAATTTAGTTCTTTTTACCTGGGTTCTAGTCTGAAAAAGTGATATGAGAGGCTGTAACAATGACAGATGATTTCCAAACACTGACTTCATTAATCTTACTTTCGTCACCTTTTTTTTTTGTGGAAAGTGATTTTTTTCCTGTTAATATCAACACAGTAACCCCATAACCATTCTATTTTCCACTGATTTTCGTAAGTCTCTTGCTGTTCTTTAGTAATTAAGGTTGTTTTAAGTATACTGATTTCCTACTGGGAAGCCAATGCTAGATTTTTACAACACATCAAGATCTGCTGAAAAATTACTCTCTAAACAGTGACCATTTTGCCTTTTTTTGTCAAATGTAAAATTGCAAGACTTAAAGAGAGTTTGAAATGAACAGTTCTGTTTAGACACAACTTCATCTATACAAATTAAAACAAGACTAATATGAGGCTAATACGTAGTTGCTTCCTGGTGCCAGGGCCAGAATTTAGTCAGCAGTGGTTTATACCTTTTTGTGTGCTGCTGCTATTGACCACTGTCAGAGTAGGATAAGGGTTATGTGGGCACACCTATGGTTCACTTTCTTCTTATGCTTCTTACATTCATATGTAAAACAGACTTTAGCTATGTTAATGGGCATTATTTTAAGACTGGATTTGTGTTTTACAGTTCAAACAAGCCGTATACAAACAGACAATGAAGCTCTTTGCTGAACTGGAAATTAAGAGGAAAGAAAGAGAAGCAAAAGAAATGCATGAAAGGTATAAGCAGTGTTCTGCTTGTGCAATTCAGGCTCTTCTTCCCCCTCATGCTTCCTCAGAGAAGATAAGGGACCATAGAGTCTTCAAATAGTCTTAAGTTGGAATGAACCTCTGGAGATCATCTGGTCTGACCTCCTGCTGAAGTTAAGGCCTTAGATTAGGTTAACAAGGGTCCTGTCAAGCTGACCTCCAATAATGTAGATTCCCCCACTTCTCTGTGCAACCTGTGGGTTGTAGAGCTCTGTGCTTGAGAAAAGCACACAGGAAATTTGCCCTCCTGTGTTGAAGACATTAATATATTTGATATGCTTGTATTCTCTTATGTGTACACATGGAGGCCAGCCACAACAGTGAAATGGTGACACAATTCTGCATGCTGTTGGCATGCAAAGGATTGATTTTTAATTTTAATGAAGTGTCAGAAATACCCTGTGGCATGTGTGATCCTGAACTATTTTAGATGTTTTGATCACATGTTGCCTGAATGCTCACTGTGGATGCACTTCCTAGAGAGTGGTTCTGTGCTGGTCAGTGAGGTGAGAGATGGCTGCAGACCACTGCTTTTGATTACAGATGAAAATTAGGGGGATAAAAATTTAATTCCTACCTTGCATGTTCAAGTGGCTATTAACTTCTCAAAATATGTACTCTCAACAGTTTTAGAGACTTACCACTAGAGTTATGAAGGAGTCCGACTTGTTTTGCTGAGCAGGAGAAGCTGATTCACTAATTGTGTGCATGCTGTCAGTGGGGCCAAACCATCATCTCTGCTTGCTGCTCTTCCAAATTTGAAACAAAATTCTATTTGCTGTGCTATTTAGGTGTGCATATCTATCTCTTCTGTAGTCTGTCAAGAAATCAGAAGAGTTTTCCAAGATGTTCTGAAAGTACTACTGTTTCTTTAAAGTAGATGCTTGTGGGTTCATGACTTGTGTGTGGTTCCCTTCCAGGAAGCGGCAGAGGGAAGAGGAAATTGAAGCACAAGAGAAAGCTAAACGAGAACGAGAATGGCAGAAGAACTTTGAGGTAATTAGCAGTTTAACTTTCAGGATGGGCCTCAGCAATTCTTGGCCATGCTGCATGGGATGGCTACAGAGAGATGAGACCTTTTGTATGCAAGTCTATAAGTCTATAAGATAATTTAAGTAAAAGATCTGCACTAGCCTGGGTGGTCCATGTGTAGAGAGAAGAGCCCAGAAGGGCTTTCGTATCACCTGTGCAGAAACGGGTCTGGTCAGTTAAGGTATAGTATTGTTCACCTATGTCAGCAGTTCATTCTTGTCTCTAGTTGTGAATTTGAATTGTTGCTTAGCCCAGGTCACTGGAGACCGGCAAAACTTAATCTGGCAACTGCTTGTGTGGGCTGTTGGTGGTACTTCCCAGTCTGGTTGCTAACACTTATGGAATCTGTGTCTCCTCTAAATATCAGAAACATGATTGACAGTCACTTCCCTGTACTCTGCCATGCTGCTGTCAGGGTTTAGGTGTGTCCAAAGTGGTTTGTGGTCGTTGTGCTGCTATTCTAGGGGTCAAACCTACAGCCCACCAGGATACTCGATCTAGCCTGTAACTGCTCCTTCATTACACACCAGAGTTGAAGACCTGAGACGTGCAGGGGTGGTGGGCAGGAAAGAAGTCATTAAGGATGTGCAGGACCTCATGAAACAATGAGCTAGATTCTTCATTCATGTTTTTATTTTTTTTAATTTTTTTGTTTTTGTTATCTCCTCAGGAAAGGTTTCTGCTGCTCTGCAGGTAGGGCAGGGAGAGGAGAAAAGTGCACCAGAGACCTTTTCTCATTGTGTCAATATGGTGAGACTTGGGGTGAGAAGCATGAGAGAAGGCAGCAGTATGTTTTCCTTCTCTCTTCTCCCTGCCTCCAAGCTGCAGCACCAGGAGAGTGAGGAGGTGAGACAGAGAAAGGAGATGGCACGTTCTGGGCTGGCAGATTAGGAACAGCCATTGGAGAGGAGGTTTCTTTTTATCTTTACACATTAGAGGATTCAGCTGAGACTAGTCAGGACTGCCCAACCCAAGCTGGTTGTTTCTGAAACAAGAAACAGCAGAGTGCTTATACTGGTGTGTCTAAGCTCACTTGTAGTTCCACTGCACTGTGTTGCTCTGGCTCTTCCCAATGTCTGTGTGTCTTTGGCTGTCAGGGGCTGCTGGATAAGGGAAAATTGCTACTGAAATGGGTATATGCTGCCTGTGCTCTGCCTCTTGCACTTTTTAACTCTTCACTTCCTCTCTGTTGTTCCCAGGAAAGTCGGGATGGCCGTGTAGACAGCTGGAGAAATTTCCAGGCAAATACAAAGGGGAAGAAAGAAAAGAAAAACAGGACCTTCCTCAGACCTCCCAAAGTAAAAATGGAGCAGCGTGAATGATCCTGGCAGCACTGCCCAAATGCAGCCCCTCAGTCCCCTCTCTGCTTTTAAGGACTCATTGGCACCTAGAGTAAGATATGCTTTTTAGTAGACTGTTTGTTTCCAGTACAATTAATTATTGGTTGAAGTATTTTTTGTACTCAGTCCATTTGAAGTAGGGCCAGAGAATGACCCCGGCCAAGGCCCCGCTCCACATAGAACACTTGGCTTAGGAGAGTCCCCGCCATTCCTGCTGTCCCTGTGTCTGCTGCCCTGTAACTCGGTGTTTTGTACTTCACAGAGACTGTGCTGTTTCACCACTTCTGTTTCTAGTTTGAGAGCTGAACAAGATATTGGAAATGCATCCAAACCTTTCCAGGCATCATCCTTCTCAGCAAGTTCAGCTTGGGAAAGGTCTGGACTGGCTCTGGGATTGTGCTTCCAGCACAGTCAGTGCAGCTGGCCAGCAGTTAGGTCCTGCAGCTCCTCACTGCACTGAGTGGTGCTTGGAAGGAACCTGCCCCCAAGATTTCCAAACTAAAATCCCAGCTCTCAGACTTAGACTTCTGTTAATCTCAGTGACCTGCTGGTCACTTCCTATAAAGGAAAATAACTTCTCTTGATTAATAGTTAAGCTGCAATGGTCTGTATGTAAAATAAATTTTTACCCAAATTACTGGTTTTTTTCTTGGAATTATTAAAAAATACAATAACAAGGGTGTGAATGGAGTGCTACCACTGAGATGGTGCTGCTCTTCAGCATGCACACGTTACCCAGTAAGGGTCTGCTGCCATCCCAAAGTCTGTTCTGGCTTGTATTTTGAAGTGACAGTCCTCAGAGACATACCCAGGAGGCTGGGAGAGGATGGCTCTTCCTGGGATGCTGCCTGGGTGGAGGCAGGCGTGCCAGGGTCTGTGCTGAGGACTGAGCTTGTGGCTGGGCCTTGGGGGAGTGTGGATGGGTTGGGAGGCCTTGGGCATCTGTCAGGAGCATAACTCCTCGGAGCTGTGGGGTGAGCTCGAACTCATGACTTTGGATTTCTAAATTCCTGCTTTCTGTGTATTGTATGTTTTTTAAGAGATTCTGAGCTATTTAATAGAATGTGCTACAGACTCGCGTGTGCTGGGGAGGTTCCTCTGGAGACCATTCTGCAAGCTCTTCCCATCTGTCCTCATGGCCATCCCTATACCTGGGTCCCGTGAGGAGCTGCTTCCATGAAAGTGCTGCTCTCCTTCCTTCTCACTGCTGTTACTAGCTCCTTCCACTTGTCTTCAAGTGAGTGTGATCCGTTGTGCTGCTCCTGAGCAGCGGCTCAGTCCGGCAGGATTGCTTCTGCTGGCCCTGGAGAGGTGCCTCCAGCTGCTCGTGTCCCAGCTCTCAGTTCTGATGAACTGCCTCCTATTCCTGCTGGAGAGGAGTGACATGACCGAGTTGTTGTGTTACACAACAGGTGTCTGCAGGAAGAGCAGTTCCCAGGGAAGGTGGTGCATCCTGATGGGACCAGGACTTGGCTGAACCTGCTGAAGGGGGCTGGTGCTCTCCCCTCACCTTCCTTTCTCTTCCTTTCATGCACTGGTCTGTGTGACCAGATGTAAAATGAAATACCTTCATTTTATATGGGAAGGATATTTTGGTACTTTATACATTAAATAGCTCTTAACACATCGGAACACAGTTCCTATTTCCTGTATAAACACAGGAATGTAGTTTCTTTACATTACTTGTCCTGTGAGTGTAACCTGCTAAATAGATCCCTTGAGCTGAACCTCGAGGGACAAAACATTGTTAAAGAGTAGCATGTTGGTGATGTTCGGGTGGCACGTGAGCCAAACACTAATAATTAGCAGCAGACTAAGATGGGCTGGCAGGTCTGGGTGACACTGAACTGTGCAGCATCTCTGTTCAGGCACTGAAATTACTTTTTATTGGTGGAACCTGATCCTCCAGTAACTGAGAATGCATTGGTAGGACACAACTTCCTTGTCGAGGCAGCAATTGGCCATGTTTGTTCTGGGGAAAATATCAGTTAGCTTGTGGTGCTGCCTCTCAGATGCAATCTCCTCTGCTCCTTGGCTGTAAGACATGAGTAGTGCTGGGCAGCAGCTCACACCATCAGAGTGGTTCCAAGTGCAGTTTCTCAGTGCCCAGAGGACATGCTGCCCCTCCAACCTGTCTGCCTTTTCTTCCCTGTCAAGGTATTTCTGTTTCAAAGATCTGTCCCCATCACTTTTGTCCCAGGGTCCTTCCCTTTGACCCTGAAACACTAGTCTCTAGCAGCATTTCTTTGCTGATGGTGTGATGTCTTTGCTGCCCTTTCAGATCTTTTCTTTACATTTTTTTCAGGTAGCTCAGGATGGGCCCCGTGAGAACTTGAAACATTTGTAAGACCCATATTAAGCTCTGATTCTGCTTCTCAGAGCTGTGTGTGTTGATGAGAATGTGCCCAGGGCAGTGGCTCACCACTGGCTCTCGAGGGGTGCAGCTGGGACCAGAGTCACAATGTCCAGGTCCATGGGCTTCTGCAGTGGAGTCACTGTTTTCCAGTGGATCTGACTGGTTTGGGACAGCTTGCAACAACACAGTGTCATTCTCAATTTAGCTGTTCCTGTTTCCTTTGCTTCCTGCCCTGCCTATGATATGCTTCTGTGTCTACATATGCAGTTTTTCCTGTCTTATCTACCCAACCAAGTCCTGAGAAGCTTCCCATCTGCCAGGGGGGTCTTGGGCTGCACTGAAGTACCTGGCCCTTCTCTGAGTATTTCTCTGCTCCACTGGGAGGCTAATTCTGATCCTCGTATCCTTTGTAGAAACAAACTGGTCTGAATTGCCTGGGTGAATACGAGTGCACAACGTGGATCCCCACAGATGCCAAGGCAGTGGGACAAATTGAATGGAATGCTGTTTAATTTCAAAAGGTAGAGATGTGTAGAGGGAGGGATCTCTAGGCCTCTGCTCTCCCTGGAGCTGTTTTTGGGTCAGTGGTTCTCACAGACTAAACTATTTGCCCTTGATGTGCAGGACCAGAAAATTCATCTGTGGGAATAAGGAGTAACTTTGTTTTCTTTCAGAAGGAGAAAAGGTATCGGGGAGCTGCAGAAGCACCTTTCAGTAGAGTCTTGGCTTTGATTTCCCATGGAAATAGCTTCTCCTCTGTGTCCAGTTCGCACAGATGTACATGGGGATCGACTAGAGTCTGGCTTTGTTTTCTGGAAGTCCAGAGGTCACTCCTGAAGCTCTTGGTTTCAATCTGAGGAAGGGAGCTTGTCTTCCCCTCCCTATGCACTTGGCAAGGGTGTGTCTGCTGTTCACTGGTGGGATGGGAAAGGACCTTTGCAAGGTACTTGTTTTCTTGTGTCTGAAGATAGAAAAGGGCAACTGCAAAAGAAACAACTCACATGAGGATAAAGAGGAGGGGGCAGCACCTTCCTGCCTGGTGCTACTGTGCAATTTAGTGATGAGAATGGAGGATCCCCTGAGTGTGTAGACAGGCTGAGGTCTTGATTTCACCGGGTAGTAAAGCCATTCAGTAAAGGCTAGACCAGGTTATGGCCTGAGGGCTTAGCCAGAGATGAAATCTCTTCTTCATAATACATAAATCGGTGTTTTACTTAACGTTTATCTTAGTTTGGCAAACACAGTGATGTGCTCTGAATTTGCCATCAACCCCTTCTCCCTGGGCAGGAACAGCTCGTTCACTGTGTGCTATTTGTATTTCAGGCCTTAGCTAGTTTTGGGGGGATTAACTGCAGCCAGTGAAGTACTGAATAGAGGGACCCAGGTGGGAGAGATCAATGGCTTGTCCTCTCCTTCCAGACGACAGGTTCTTTTGCTAGTCTTTCTCTTAAAACAGCTGAAACTGGAGACAACTATGAGAGGTTGGCCTTTAATGTAGTGTTTCCCTCAGAAACAGGAGGGCGATGGCAGCATGATATCTACAGAGATGGGCTGCCTTGTCTTCCTTTTCCTCTTGCAAGCTGCAGTGTGAGCCAGACCTCCCCTGCTGGGGCAGCTGAGTCCTACATTCCTAGGGTTCCCTCAACCTGAGGGAACAGCATGAAGTTGTATCAGGGGAGGTTTAGGGATCTCAGGGAAAGATTCTTCCCTCAGAGGGTGGTTGGGCACTGAACAGGCTCCCCAGGGCAGTGGTCATGGCCCCAAGGCTGCCAGAGCTCCAGGAGGGTTTGGACAATGATCTCAGGCATATGGGGGGATTGTTGGGGTGTCTGTGCAGGGCCAGGAGTTGGACTTTGATGATCCTTGTGGGTCTATTCCAACTCAGGACATTCTGTTATTCTACAACTCACTAGAAGAAAAGGGGCATTGTCCCATGTTGTCCCCCAGCACAGCGTGCCTGGCCTGGGGCACCCCCCCTATGTGGGTCTGCACTGCCTGGATTGGAAACCTCCCCTGCTTTGTTTTCCAGAACTCTTGGCAGTGCATCTCCTGCTGCTGGGGCTCCCTTGCCTTCCCTACCTGGTTAGCTCCTTGTGCTCCTTGGCAGGTGCAGCTCTCACAGCCCTGGCTTTGTGTTGTGAACAGAAGGGGCAGATGTTTGAGGGTGCAGCTTCTCTTGACCCCGACGTCAGCGCTGCAGCGAGCGCCGTGCACGCTTTGCTCTGGGATGTAGCTGAGCTGCCTGACACTGCTGAGGCTCAGCAGCCTTCCTATGAGGAAGCCTCTCTGTCATACCAGCTGGAGGGCTTTGGACTCAGGGGATGAGAATGGGCACGTGCCTTGGGGCAATTAGGTCTTTGTAGCAGGAGATCTCTGCTGCAGCCCACTCAGAGCCATTCAAATGGGCCTCTCTGGCTGCCTGCTGCATTCACATTCCCTTTCTGGGATATTCAGTTGTCTGGCAGCAGTAAGGACACTCTGGGCACTCTTGTAACAGTTTGTTCTGGGTGGAAGAGTTGGAGCAGTGTGTTTTGTTTCCATGAAGAGCACCTGTAAAGGAAAATAACACTGGCACATGTGCCAGTGTGATTGTTGCAGTTCAGATCACAGAACTTGAGTGTTTTGGGGAAGGACATCTGTAGGTCTTTAATTTGATCTTGCGTTTGAGGTGGGGTTGTCACTAATGGTAGGTGAGATCTGGGGTTTTATATGGGCAAGCATAAGGATGAGACCCCCCCCTCCTTCCTGGGTTCCCGTCCCAGGGATGAACACCCCTTGTAGCGAAAATATTTCACTGACATTCATCCTGACTGTCCCTCACCCAGTTTGTGGCTGTTGCCCGTTATCACACCATTTGTCACTACTGAGAAGAGTTCATGTCTGTCCTCTGCAATTTCCCTTACAGCAGCTGCAGGCAGTGATCAGATGGTCCCTCTGCCTCTGGGCTGTTCCAGCCCAGCTCCCTCAGTAGGATGTGCCCCAAGCTCAGACTGTGGTGCCAGCTCTCTGCTTCTCCAAATTCTCCACATCCCTTTTGTGCTGCCCTCACTGTTCCAGGTGCAGTGTCACCAGTCTGACACAGAGGGGACATGAACTGCCCTCGTTCTCTGGCTGTGCACCTGGCAGAGCCTGGCTGCCTTAATCACAACCTGGCTGGCAGCCTCCTCATTGGGAAAGGCCATACTGGTGCAGTTTGGTTGACTGGGAAGCTGGGGTGCTTCCTGCAGCTCTGCATACTCCAGCTGGGTGCCTGCCAGCCTTACTGGGGGGCTCCAGGGTGT